AAATTGCACTCACTGACACTCACTGATGCTTGTTGAATGCTTATGGACACCACAGAGGGGATGTGAGCACAGTGAGGTGGTGCGTGGGGCATTTCAGTGATGAAAGACAAATTGTGTTCCAGACAGCCGTGCATAGCTGTCACACTGTGAAATGAAGAGCGTGTTGATCAGCTCATCTGTGCAAATCAGAGGATTACAACCAGAAAACTGTGTAAGGAGCTGAACATCAGCTTCAATATGTTGGAAATGATGGTGGCAACACTGGAATATTGCAAAGTTTGCTCCAGGTGGCTCCCACAAATGCTCATACAGGAACAGAAAGAACACCATGTGCAAGTTTTTCAGAATCTATTGAACAGCGTGTGAATTCATCATCTAAGAAAATGTTCAAGACAAAGGCCTGAAAAGGTGAAGTGCACTCCCTTTTGGGATAGGAAAGGGGTGATCCTTCTGGAACCTGGACAGTCAACTCTGACCACTACATTGCAATGCTAGCTAAACTAAAGGCTCAAACTTCCTGAGTCTAGCTAGAGAAGAAGAGAACCTTTCTCTTGCAACACAGTAACACCAGGTTCCCACACCAGTTTGAAGTCTGTGGAGCACACCTGCCCATCTTGTCTAGGCTGTCCCACCACACCAACTGTGTAGTACAGATTTGGCCCCTTCTGACCTCCATCTGTTCAGGCCAATGAAAGATGGATTACATAGGCTACATTTTCCTAGTAACAATGTTGTCATAGCAGCTGCCAAACAATGGGTCACCTCCCCTGGTGCAGATTTTTATGAGCATGGCATGGAAGCTTTTGTTCAGCACTGGTGAAAACATATAGTTAATGGTGAGTGACTATATTGAAAAACAGGGTTTTGTAGCTGAAAATCACTATCAAATAATGGTATTGTACTCATTGTATCTGTTGTAGTTTCCATGGAAATAAATAGCAGACATTAGTTTTGGAGTCACCTATTTACATCAGTGGTTCAATGAGAAGAATGATCTAGAATGATGCAGTTCCTCTTGTGCTGGTTTTGGCTGTGCTTTCTTATATGATATATTAAGTTGGAGAAAAGATGAGATGTTAAGAGACCCTGTAGAAACTTTACCATACTTGTCCAATCCATTAATTAAACCACGAGGAAAAACTGGGAAGGAATAAAGTTAGGCAGTGTAGGCACGGAGACAATTTAAAATGTGGTACAATCTGTTTGTTTGGTTTTGTAAGAGCAGGGAGATCTGAATTCTGCTATAAATTGCTCAGAGACTTTGGTTGAGATATTTTATTGCTTTCTTTTTCTGCCATCTGACTGGTTCAGTCTTCAGGGGGAAAGGCAAGAAATCTGTCACAATTTTTTTGGAAATGCTTCAGGAAATGCTTGCAGAGTACAAAGAATCCTAGTTGGAAAAACAAAGGTAATATGGCACCTTCTTGTCTAGATCATGAATTCAGCAACTGTAGTTTGCAGAAAACTATCACGCAAAACACAGACAGTCCAGTTTTTGAAGGACTTCAATGAGGCACATGCCTTGGAGTCAGGATGTGCTGGCTAGTCTGCACTTGGGAGTTTTCCCTCCCTTGGGAAAGATATTTATATATTAGATAAACAGTAAAACCTCTCTGCTACTTAAGGCCATTTCCCCGTTCCAACATTCAAGCTAAATGCTGAATGTACGCTTACTAACTCAGTGGCTCTCTCCATCTACCCTCCCCTCATGGGATTGCTATTCTAGGCTCTGGGGTGATGTCAACATTCCTACTTCGCATGGTATTGCTGATGTGGTACAGTCCTGTTCCTTTAGCTAAGATTGGGAAGGTAAAGTTTGCCTTAATAATTCTTAGATTTCATCGGTAACTCTGTTTTTGCTGCCTCTAACGTTAGAAGCAGAAAGAAATCTAACCCCTCTCATGCAAGGTTCATCCTCTTTTCTTTATAAAATGGTTCTAAGGCAGCTGCTATGAAGCAAGTGAAACAATTTTGCGTTTTTTTTTTTTTTGCTCCCAACCAGCAAAAGCCATCATGAAGACTGCAGTGCATCACACTGTGCTCAGAAAATCAAAAACAGCTCCTTTATCCAGAAAGAAGAAATTGCTGAGTAATCAAGCTAGAAAATACGGAACCTGGACAGAAAGTCCAGAGAAGAGTTAGGCCACTCCTCTGAGAAAGAAGCAAATTCCAGCCTGCTCTGTTCACTAGTTTCAAGAAGTTTGTGTTAAAATGAAACAAACACTGACAGATTAAAGGAAAAGGGAGGTATAATCAGAGCTGAGCTCTTCATTTCAGACAGCAGGGATGACCATGCATTTAAAACCAAATTTGTTAGGGCTTTAAAATATGCAACAAAGGCTCACGAATAGACTTTGCTCTGCCAATTAATGATACAATGGGATAACCATGCTGTTTCAGTGTTGCTATCCCATATTAATTGCTACGTGATCAAAGACGAGGTGGTGATAGGCCACAAAATAAATCCCACTGTTCTTACCCATAATCTGTTCCTGAAAGCCTGTTAGTTTTGAACTCTACAGACACTCCAAGCTGTTTATCCATTTAAGAGAGGGAGAAGGAAAAGCAATGCCAGTACTGAATTCTTTGGAGAATCCACCTATAATTTTATGTTGTTAGCTGTGTATCATAGTTCCCTATAGCTTATCTGCTTTTCCTAGACTCCCAAAGCCACACTGCTAGTAACATGTAAGTGGAGAGAACACACTATTTTTATGGTACAGAACAGGGATGTTGAAGCCTTGCACTAATTGCAATCTAGAATGTAGTATCATCAGTGGAGCTATGACCAACTCCTGTATAAGGCTTACATAAGTGGTGAGTCATACATTCTTACGAAAGAATAAGGAGTGAGGCTTTCATTATGTTGTTTGCCTAATCAGAAATATGAAAATAAAAGAACACAGCACTCAGTGGGTTATGTTTGGCTAACAGTAGGCTAGAATTTCTGCAGTTGCACTACTGTGATTGAGGCATTTCATTGTTTGTGGTCCCAGCTTATATTAAACAGAGAGGATTTTTTCATAAATCTTTGCCTCTAGGGCAGAGTTAAGGTTGTTTGGGAACCCTAGCTATGCATTTCCAGGCATTAATGTCTGAAAGCAGCACCAGGGGAGTAGAAATGGAGGTATATGCCTAGGGAGGATACTAGGAGTAAATGAAGAGACCCAAGGGCAGAGTAGGGTTTGTGAGGATGAGCACGTAAAGAAGCAGAAGAGTGGAAACTGAGCTTTTAGGATGACTGAAAAACAGTCCTGTGACAATTTCTCATGTCTTACTAGTCTTTTTCCATGCTCTCAAGCAGGTAGTTGCATTGAGTATTCATTCTACCACCAACCATGCTGTTAGCCATGAGCCAAGATACCTACAGCTCTTTGAAGACAACTACAGAATTTTGAGGATTGAAGTTGGCTGCAGCTTTGAGTGCACCCACAGTGCTCTTTAAACTGCTCTGATTAACCCATCACTGCTTCTCCTTTTCCTACACCAGTTCTCTGCACCTCATATGGTGGGCTGGATCAACAAAATAGCAGTAACAGCTGTTGGTTGTTTCGTTTGTTTTGTTTTTTCCTCCAAACATTTGGCTACAGCAACAGCTGAAGGCTGGAGGGAGTGATAGTAGGAGGGAGTCTGAAACTGAAGAGCCACACTAAGAAATTTAGGGCCCTGGAATGTGTCCAGAGAAGAGCAACAAAGCTGTGAAGTTCTGGAGAACAGGTCTTACAGGATGTGGCTGAGGAAACTGGGACTCTTCAATTCAAAGCAGCAGCAGCTCAGGGGAGACCTTCTTGCTCTCCACAACTGCCTGAAAAGAGGTTGTAGTGATATAGGAGTCAGCCTCTTCTCCCAGGTTGCAGCAATAGGATGAAAGGTAATTGTCTCAAGATGTGCCAGGAGATGTGCAGGTTGGATACCGGGAAAAACTTCTCTGAAAGAGTGGTTGGGCGCTGGAATGTGCTGCCCAGGGAGGTGGTGGAGTCACCATCCCTGAAGGCATTCAAGAAAAATGTAGATGTGGTACTGAGGGACAGGTTTAATGGGGAATATTGGTTGTAGGTGGACAGTTGGAGAAGATCATCTTAGAGGTCTTTTCCAACCTTAATGATTCTATGATCCTACATTTCAGCTGAGATCAGCAAAAGGTGAGTGTAGCAGAGCTGCTTGAATGATCCCTGTTCTATTTTTTTCCTTTAAAAGGCTAATTTAGGAGTGGCTGAAGAGTGTAATTAACACAGCTACAGCCTCTCTATCACCACCTCTTTCTCCTACAGCTCGGGTGCCAGTACTCTTATCCTAGATAGTGTGGCTTAGCAGATGGGACATGTCTATCTACCCCATAACCCGCTTTCCTTCTTTGCCTGGGGAGGCAGCATAAACCCTTGGCAATATAAAATTGCTCCTTTTAATTTGACAGACTGCCTTGAAAAGGGCTAGTGGGTACGATGCCTCAAGATTTCACGGTTGGCTGGCTTATGTTTTGGGGTGTATAAAAAATTATTGAAAGCTGAGTTTAGCTTGGGTATTATTATGCACGTAACCTTCCATGCCTAATTGCACTGAAGCTTGACTGCTTTGAGAATCACAGAATATCCCGAGTTGGAAGGGACTCATAAGGATCATTAAGTGCAACTCCTCCCGCTGCACTGCGAGAGCAGAAGTCTGGTCCCCAACCAGCATAGTGCTCAGGCGAGCGGGCTTGTTTCTGCAGCTCTACTGCTCCCTCCGTCGTACCGAGGGCTGTGGGTGGAGAACTGCAAGTTACAGAGGCTCACCCTCATTTTTAAGCTGGTGGCAGCCCGGTCCGAACGGAGAGGGGGAGAGGCCGCTTTCCTCGCAGAGCGCTTAGAAGTTCGCGAGCCCCATTAAGCATTGACGGGGCTTTAATGGCACGGGTGAGGCGTGGTGACACAGCCCCGGGGCACGGCGGCCGTCGGAGCTGAGCGCCGCACAGAGCCACGAGGCCGGACGCCGTGTGAGGGCTGGGCGCCGGCGCTCCGGCCATGGCAAACGGGTGGCTGTGGCCGTGGATGGGGCTGGCCTGGCTGCTGGGGCTGGCGCGGCTCGGAGCCTTGCCCCTGACCGCCGGACCACGGGACGAAGTGCAGGCGGCGGCGCTACAGCGGCTGAGGGAGGTGTTCGACATCGAGGAGCTGCCCCCCGACGTGCTGCCACGCAAAAAGCCGCCGCAGTTTATGGTGGATCTCTTCAACAAGGTGGCCGATGCCAACGGCATCACCCGCGCGCCCGGGCTGCTGGAGGGAGACGTGGTGCGCAGCTTCGAGGACCGAGGTGAGCCGGGGGCGGCGGGGGGCAGCGCTGCGGCGGGGCGGCGTGGGCAGCGGCGGCTAAAGGCCGCTCTCCCGCAGCTCCCGTGGTGCAGGACCGCTTCTTCTTCGACGTCAGCGCCATGGAGAGGGGTGAGCAGGTGCTGAAGGCCGAGCTGAGGGTGTTCAAGCTGAGGAGGAGGCGCGTGGCCAGGAGAGCCGATCCGCAGCACTTCTGCAAGGTAAGTGGGAAATGAACCGTCAATTACGTGCATTCTTGTGGAACTGCTAATAATCCGGAAGGGAAATGAGGGAGGAATAGAGAGTGCAACAGCTTAGTATGTAAACTTGCTTTATTTTTATTTCATTATTGTCCTCGGTGCAGAGTGGCACTGCACCTCCAGCATGCCGAGAAGGGATGCAGGGCTCTGGCTGCTGGGATGCTATCTCTGGAGGTACCCTTCCCTTCGGGCCCACACTGGACTTCTCTGCTTTTTGAGATGTTTTGAAATTGAGATGCAAATTTGACTGATTCGCTTTTGAAGTGATGATGTCAGTATGGGAATTGCTCCCTGGCACCGACTGCATCTTGTAGCAAAGGAGAGTCGGACATTTTGCAAACTCGAGGGCAAAGATACAGCGTGCTGGAGAACTCTAACAGTGTTGAAGTACAATACAGAATAATAGCGTAGTCCTGCCTTTGAACTCATAGGATCACAGAAACGTTTCAGTTGGAAGGGATCCTTAAAGGTAATCTAGTCCAGCTCCCTTACAATGAACTTTTCAAACACATCTGCTGATACTCATTTTGTTGTTGAACAAGCTGTAAACAGCTTTTAGCGTCAGTTGGAGCAGCTTTCCATTTAAGATGTGGAAAAACTCGATGCTCCCCATTTTGCTGGAAGAACAATGGCTGTCATTTCTCACTGTTCTGTTCTGTTGTGTTGCTCTCCTCAAGGTGGAAGTGTATGAGCTCCTGGATGGTAGAAGTAATCCACAAAAAAAAAATCTCATTGCATCAAGATTGTTGTCTCTGTACTCAGAAGGCTGGGAAGTATTCAATGTCACACAGACGGTAAGCAGGGAACTCTTGGTCATTTTTAGATCTAAAATATCTGTTATGGCAGTGCTCAGCTGATAATTTGCTCTTATTGCTGGGTTCTGTGGTCAATTCAAACTGAAGGACAGAGCAGGGGGAAGACCCTACTCATTACACTCAAAAGTATGGGTTCTTAGTTCTCTGATGAGAACTAAGTAACCCAAACCTAGACAGCAGGAGGGGTGTCAGTCCAAATGTGGCAGTGTGATTGACGCACGCTTGTCCTTAGACTGTCAAAAAAAAAAATCATTGATAATGGGATATGAGTAGGTTTTAATTCCTCTTCTATTTTACCCTAGTCCGTTTTTTTTCTTTTTTTTTTCTTTTTTTTTTCTTTTTTTTGTAGATGAGATCTGCAGTGTAATTCAATACTGTGTTTCTGGAATTTGTAATGGTTAGAATGTTTTTCATCTTAACTTTGTGTATAGTATTCTCTATTTGCCGGTTGGAAGATTTGTTTTGTAGATATCCTTCAATTATATCAATATCAGAATGCCTTTCCTTAACAAAAATACAAATGAGGTTTCAAACGCTTTCTGATGCTTAAATCTGCTCTGACAGTGTTTTTAGTTGCCTGAGCTTTATGATCAGATTGAACAACATGCTTGGATGATTGGTTGAGTTGCATCGTGTGCCATAATAGCCTTCCTTGAGAATGGCCTGACCATATTTAGTAGACTGTAATTAGAACAATTAGAGAAAGTAAATTTGCCTGATTTCTTCAAATAAGCTAATTTCTTCAAATGCCACATTTGCGTTAGATTTAAATGAGTTTTAATGGTATGGAAAGTCTGGAGAGTTTTTATTATTCTGTTATTAAGATTACTAGGAAAAATACGGTTCTGTCTAAAGTCAGGGGTGATTTATTTTATTGCTAATGTTAACTTTTAGGCTCATTATTCACTAGCAAATTCTCCAAAAATTAATTATCTTTGTGTAAGTGTAACTTTGGGAAATGTATATGATATTTTAAAATGTTGAATTATTGGTTTAAATATTTAACTCAATTCAGCCTTTACAGTTACCTCATTTCTGTGATTGTATATGTATTTATAGTCCTATATTGGTTGCCTGTTCCATTTTCCTCGTGTAAATTATTCTTAATCACAATACAGTGGAAAGATTATTGAAACAATATTTTCTTGTTTCATTTTCATTACCAGGTTTCCAAGTGGGTCGGAAGCAGTAACTCCAACCACGGCTTTTTGATAACTGCAACACACTTAGTCAGCAATAGGATTGAACACAACCTGGTTGCATTTGCAAAGGGACAGGGCAATTTGCAGGAGAGCAGAAATGCTCTCCTTGTCCTCTTCACCAACAGTAATAAACGGAGGTCTTCCAGCTTTGTACCCTCTTCTACAAGTAAGTTCACACAACAGTAACTCTATTTTAGAACATGAAGAATTCTAAGGGAAGCTTCAATTATTTTCGTTGTATAGAGAGATGGGAATTTTCTTTCTTTTTTAAAAATATCATTATTTACTTTGTCTTTGTGGTGATGTTTGCATGGAAATTATAATTTTCACCTTAGGCTGAAAAAACTCAGTGACCTGAAAAACTGTGAAAGTGCTGGTAAAGCAAATGGGAGTAGTTATGAAGTGCAGTTTTCAAGAGTGGAAGAAGTTGTTAGATAAGCAGTTTTAACTTCTCTGTCCTTTGCTTGTTTTTTAAACACCTGTTTAACTTCAGTGACTAATTAGCATTGTTACTAATGGCTTTTTTTTTTTTTTTTCATCAAAGGCAACGCCTTTATCCCTTAAATTACAAAACAATACTGCCTTACCTCTCCCACGGGTCCTCCAGTAAAATCAGCTAAGGCTGGATTTTAGAGGCTGAGATAAATGCAAAGAGCAAAATCTGGAATGAGGAGGAGAAGTAATGGTTTGGGCTTGGAGGGTCTTTTTGGTAAATCATTGCATTTGTACATCAGAATAATTAAGAACCAGGTGATAAAACTGATACAAATCAAAACCAAACAGTTTTACAAAAAAAAAAAACAACCAGAAACCAGCCTGTTCTTTTTTGTTGTTGTTGTTGTTATAAATAGAGAATTACTGTAGTGAAATCCTGCATCCCAATTTAATCAATATAAACCTTTGTATGTGATGCTGTGCCAGAATTGGGGAACTGATTCCTATTTCTAAGATTGACCTGTTGCTTGTGGGTGGAAGAACAATCTGCAGAAATTCTTCTTCTAGCAGCCTGCACACCAGTGGCTTTCAGCCTGTGTTCATGGATCTCGAGGTCATCACTAATATTTATCACAAGTTCTTAGACTGTACATTGAGAAAGTAAAGGGATTGTCAGTGAGCTTCATTCTCTAGCTGACTTTCCTCAAACCTAGTCATAATATTTTCATATCCAAAACATCATCTTTTTTTTTTTTTCCAAAACGACTACTTTTCAGGAAAGCACTCTATTTTCAAGCATATGGGTAGAGTTGCTGAGAGGAGAATACTGGAGAGAAGAAAAGAATGTGGTCTCCACCCTTTGTTAGCACTTCACAGCAGGTCTGATGTAGGAGTAGCCATACAAAGGTCATTAAAACCATTCTGACCATAGGTATCCCTGAAAAGGGCCCCTGGAGTTTGCAGAATGTAAAGCTTTTATGTTTCTGCTAAACTGAGGCCTTTTAGTCCACATAGGGAAACACAGACCTGGCAGATTTTGAAAAGTAGCTGAAATGACAATTGAGTACACACCTCTCCCAGTGCTTTCCTGACATTTTAAAATGTTCTTTGAAATCTTTGATGTACATTTTCAAAATAGGTTTTCTTGCAGCTTATTGTACTTAAGGAAAAATGACTTTGAGAAAGATTAACACACAGCTTCCTTCCTAAACCAGAGCTGAACCCTGCCAAAAATGATGCTTTGTTACGTGTGCCTCGTGAAACTTTGATAATCAAAAACAGCAAAGAAAGGAAGAGCAGGAGGCGTCGCGCTGCTGCAGCACCTTCTTCCAAAAGCCAGGTAACAGCATGTCATCGAAGAGAACTCTATGTTGACTTCCATGCCATTGGCTGGTCAGGATGGATTATTTACCCAAGTGGATACAATGCATTTTACTGCAGAGGCTCCTGTCTTTTCCCCTTGGGGGAAAGTCAAAATGCAACAAACCATGCCACGGTTCAGTCCATAGTCCATACACTTAAACTGTCTCAGGATATCAGCACGCCCTGCTGTGTTCCAGATGAACTGATGTCCCTCAATCTCCTCTACTTTGATGACAAAGAGAATGTGGTTCTTAAAAATTACAAAGACATGGTGGCAACAAGGTGCGGTTGTCATTAACAGGATATTTTTTTTTTTGTACACATTCGGCATGCACTTGGATTCAGTTTCCTATTTGCCACTGAAAATACCAAAGGTAAATGGTATTTTGGATTATGGGACAGGTGAACCAGAAGCTCACCTGCATTTGAAATCCTCTCACCGTGGGTGTGTGGAAAGGAGTTTTAGGCAGGTGTTCAAAGAGCCATGGGTTTGTAATGGCTCTGCTTACCTCTGTGGAAAGCTCTGTGCCTGTAAACCAGAGGAAACCATCAGGAACAGGAATTTTGTGATGTAAAAGATCCTAAACACATTAAGTGTGCATTCAAACAAAGGTACTGTTTCGTATGTTAAAGCTCTGAATATCCAAAGGAGAAACAGGCATGCTATCCCATAGGATATTTGAGGGGCCCATTATGAACACTGAGTCCAACCTGTGGCTCCACACAGGACCACACAAAAATCAGACCTTACATCTGAGAACATTTTCTGGACATTTCGTGAACCCCAGCAGCTCAGTGCCATAACCACTTTCCTGAGGATCCTGTTCCAGTGCCTGACCAACCTCTTGGTAAAGAGCCTTGATATCTAGCCTGACCATCACCTGTCACAGCTCTATGCCATTCCGTTGGGTCCTGTCACTGAGAGGGGAGCTCAACACTGCCCCTCAGCACACCCTCGTGAGGAAGCTGTAGGCCGCAATAAGGTCTCCTCTCATTATCCTCTTCTCTTGGCTGAACAAACCAAGGGATTTAATCTGTTCTTCAAATGTCTTTCCCTCTAGACCCTTCATCATCTTTGTGGTCCTCCTTTGGACACTCTTCAATAGTTCTGTGGCCTTTTTGTACTGTGATGGTCAAAACTGCGTGCAGTACTCAAGATGAAGCTGCATCAGTGCAGCGTAGACAGAGCAATCACTCCCCTCAACCATCTAGCAATGCCGTGCTTGTTGTACCCTAGGATCCTGCCTTAATCCAGCACGGAGGTGCTGGTCTCAGTAATGCTACCTCATTCAGCTTTGAATGCACATGATTCAATGGGAATATAAATTCCTAAGCAGAGATTTGAGGCTAAGTGCCCAGAGCTGACCTCAGAGATCTCTTCTGAGTAATACATAAACTGCAGATGGTAATGCACTTCTTAGGCAATCTGATGGACACAGGACAATATATATCTGGGCATAAGCAAACTTGGCTTCTGGCTCAGTGCTTGCGCCTCTATGATGAAGGGTCAGCCGATTGTACAGTGACTGTACGATAAGCTTGGGTTGCAGCTCCCATAATTTAGACAGAAAGGAAAAAGGTAGTCCAAACTTTGAAGGTCTGTTAGAACATGCTGGCTGCTGCCCTGGTCCTGTAGTTAAGGCTGGTTGGATGGAAGGTACTTGATTTTTCCCTTTCATTCTTTCTCAGTCCATAGGAGGGGATTCCCACTAGGAGGGGAACCCACGAGGTCTTCGAGTCTTGCTACAGCTTAATGTGGGCAGCCATCCCATTGCAGTTTCTTGATCAACTTACTGAGCTGTAACTTCAGCCTATTTAGGTTTCTTGTCTTCATTAATCCTTGAAGGAGGCTGGCACATCACAAAACTTGACATCTCCCAACGGTAGAAACATCATGAAGAATTTTGAATTTTTACTCCAATGAGATTTATTAAAAAAAAAAAAATTAAAAAAAAAACACAAAAAATATTTATGTACATTTTTTTTCTGTAAATACCAATGTCTGTAATTAAGAAATGTATTTTATTTAAAACTCAAATGCTTCAAGTATATTAACTTAATCTGTAATAAAAACACGACTTTTGAAATAAATGTATATAATGTAACATTACAGTTTTCTTTCTGTGATGTATTTGAGCTACCTTCCCAAAGTCATGATTCAAATACTTTGCCAAAAGAGGGGACATTCACAGCAGTTTCAATGGACAATGAATCAAAGCCTCTGACTCCATGAATGAATATAACAGACAAACAGAGTAGATGCTGAGGCTCTATTCCTTCAAGCTGGGGGAAACGTTGTGATGAGATCCCTGTATTTCCATCCAGCAGACCACAGGAAGAACTGTGTGTGTATGAACCTGTTCAGTACAGGTACAAATTTCAGAACTGCAGTATGTGCCCAGTGTGACAGAACAAATGTGTTTATCCTTTCTGCAGAATAACCCCTGGTTGCTATGCTAGTCATACCTCCACGTGTTCAGAATTCCTATACAAATGTCCCAAATCCTCCCAGGTAAGATTTGTGTGGAGTGAACGAAATAAATAAATGAATAAATAATAAAGGAAGTTTATAGTCAGCATGATAAGATGGAGTGATGGCAGGTTGGTGCTAACTGCTGCACTAGCCACTCAGCCATTGGATTCAGAACCAGTGGCAAAAGGAGCTTGGAAGGAGAAAGGGTCATAACATCACTTTACTGATTTATTGCCTGGCTTGTTCTTTTGCATTATTTTCCTTTCATCACACAAATATTCGTGGCATTTTAAGTCCTTAGGAACTGCACCTTGTTTAGTGAGAGTCCAGAGAGGTGACTTCAGCTGATGTTGTCTATGCTTGTTTTAGTAGGGATGCTAAGAACTGAAGCCAGCAGTTTTCATTGCCGGCTAACACTGGGAGAAGGACTGCCTGTGGAACAGACTGATGTGGGCAGCTTCTGTGTGCAACATACTCCAGTCTTCTGTCCATAGCACGATGAATGGTTCTAGAACCACCATCTGTGTATCAGCTGCAACTTTCACTGTGCAACTCAGAGAATTATCCTTTTATTTATTTTTTTAGCTACCCTATTTTTTTTAGATTCCAGGAAAAAAAAGAATATTTTTCCTTTGAAAACTGGATAAACTCAGTAAGTAATAATGAATATTAGTAAACACAATGCTGCACCAAAATTGGTGAAATATGCACAGTCAAGCTAGGAGCACTCAGTAGTTTTGCACACATTAAATTATTACTTTTTTCTGCGCCACTCAACATAGTCTCATTATGCCCCATTAAACCCTGATAATTAAAACAAAATATATTGGAATTGTTTATCCTGGACTTTGTAAGAAAATGAGCTTCATAATAATGCCAAGGGAAAAAATTTATGCTGCACCAGAACTTGTAATTAGAATAACAATTAAGCGTAAGTATGCTCCCGTTTTATTTATATATATACATATTTTTATATATATTTAATAAAGGCACAATTTGGTAATTGAAATAAATAAGAATTCCAGAATAAGGAATGCTACAATTTGGAACTTCAGTTTTAGCTGAACACAGCACATTTAGGTGGGATGCCAAAAAGCAATAGCTATGGTTTTGAAGAAAATATAGGCAGTCTTCAGAATGGGTAGTCTAGAAAAGAACTGGTGGCACAAGATGGAGCTGTTATTTTGTATTACATTGCAACAATGCTAAGAGAGAGCAAGAATGGCAGCAAAACACTGAGGATTCCACAGAGGATGTTCTGGATTTGGAACTAAAGAGGCTCAGGTAAGTGAGGTGCATGCAGTCACATCATGTTGGCTATTGTGCGATGGGAGAGCTCCAAGTCTGGCCCAGTTACTTCTGCAGCAGGATGTTAGTGGGCTCTGGATATGCCGTAGGGAGAACACAGACCCACGAGAGATCAGGTTCTGTGGTCTTCCATTTGTAGAACCATTTGTTCTTATGAAGAGTTACTGAGGTGCTTCTGTCATGAGATGTAGAGAAAGTTGCTTCTTGGCACTGAAATATGGGAAATGTGCTGGGAATGTTTGGTGACTGGTGAGGCAGAAGGGATTGGTGGGGAGGAACATGTTGGGGATAATTCCCTTTCAGAGAAGAGGTTATAGCAAGGTGGGGATCAGATAGAAAGATAAGTAATGGTCTTAAGGTACACCAAGGGAGGTTCAGGATGGATATTAGGAAAAAATTCTTCTCAGAAAGATTGGTGATGTACTAGACAAGCTGCCCAGGGAGGTGGTGGTGGTGGTGTCACTGTCGCTGGAATTGCTCAAGAACCATGTAGATGTGGCACCGAAGTGCATGGTTAGTGGGCATGGTGGGTATGTGTTGATGATTGGACTACATGATCTTAGTGGTCTTTTCCAACGTAATGATCTGTAATTCTATGATAACTGAAATGTTCCTGGCCCAAAGAAGCTGGAGCACAGCGGTGTGGTAAGCAGTTGGAAGGCCTCTGCTCTGCACCCTGTTAGGAATGCTCTGATTTGTCTCCACTTCGCCTGTGGTGTGCACAATGGGGCCATTCTCCTGTAGGAAGAATGGCGTTTATGTGCTTTACTGAAAAGATCTGCGGAAGATAGCATTTGGTTCGTAGCCGGGGAGCTTTCCTCCTGTAAGGAGAGGAGCTGAGTTCCTGGGCTTTGACCTTTCCGATCGCCTCCCATCCTTTAAGATTACATCTACTTCCATTTGTAAAAATACACGAGTGTTTTACATGTGGACTCTTACACACAACCACGGGCATATGCACTCTTGTTTGCCTTCCTTCTGCTTCGTCCCAGACTGCTTCTCAAAGGACTACTTATCTGTAACAGAGGTGGGTGTTCCACACTAAGCTGTGAACATTGCCACATCCAGGGGATGCGTTTCAATGGCCTCATACACAAATATGTCACACCCCGGCCACTTTTTCTCTTCTGGTGCTTGGTATAGCTCACCTTCAAGGAGAGCAGTTAGTAGGTGTGAACTGGCCTGTGGTGAACGAGACAATTGTGTCTTACAACAGCTAATTGCATGTTTTCTTCCTTCCTACTGGGTTCATTGCTAGAAGCCATTCAGAGAATAAGAGAGACTGCTAACTTTTTGTTGTCGTGTGGATATGTGCAGTTATAGATTCAGGCAGATACTAACTGCCCTAATTCAGAGCTAGATTACAGCCTGTTTTCATTCTGGTAAACAAAAACTGTGAGTTTTGCCTCTAAGTGGGAAAACGACCTGTTTCTGAGAAACAATTGACCTTTAACTGAAACTGATTTGGTGATGCTGTAAATCCAGACCACATGACAAAAAGCAGTGCTGTGGCGGAA